AGTACTGCTCATACTGCAATGCGATATCTTCAGTTTATGTTCATTTTCATCAAGCACTCCTCTTCATTAGTTGAATGTAAGGCAAGTTTTAGACATGTCAAGTTTCTCATTAGTTTGGAATGTACAGATATGTTTTTTGTGTCATTTTCTCTCACCTCAGAAATTAAATACCATAAATGTAAACATTGATAGTTGTTTTATCATTTCCAAAAATCTTAAACCTGCAATTTATGATTTGTGCCACCATATGGAGACTGAGTCAATTCCAGGGCTTTAAAGCCAAGATACTCCTTTTGTCTAAGAGTCAGATAAACAGGGCATTTTTTTGTTTCTAATGATATGACCCTCCCCAATTTATTAAGTAAATTTCCTGTTTTCTTTATTAAAGATACATGCCACAAGTCACCTGAAATAGAAACTGGGAAGACCTCTTGGATTTCTCTCTATCCATTATGCTTCCACTCAATTAATCACTAAGTTTTGTGATTTCTCTCTCAGCAGTATCTCTCCCTTCCATTTCTTTCCATTCCCAATGCCAACACTTTGGGTTTATTCATTATGTGTTTTTTTGTGCCACTACAACAATTGCCTCTTAATCTCCCTGATTTCTGGCACTTTCTCTTCCAGTCTATATAGATTATTTTTTTCTAATGTTTCATTATATTTATTATAAATATTCATTACTACCCCCTCTGGCTACCAGATAAATTCCAAACTCCTTCGACTGACCTTTAACTCCTTCTTTGATTCACTTTTATTTTATTTTATTTTTTGAGACGGAGTTTCACTCTGTTGCCCAGTCTGGAGTGCGGTGGCACGATCTTGGCTCACCACAACCTCCACCTCCCAGGTTCAAGCGATTCTTCTGCCTCAGCCTCCTGAGTAGCATGCCCGGCTAATTTTTGTATTTTTAGTAGGGACAGGGTTTCACAATGTTGGCCAGGTTAGTCTCGAACTCCTGACCTTGTGATCCACCCGCCTCAGCCTCCCAAAGTGCTGGGATTACAGGCATAAGCCACTGTGTCCAGCCAGTAATTTCTCTTTTTATTCCTTCCTCCAGTGCTCTTTGACATGTTGCCTGTGCACCAAGAAATGGGTATTACTTTCTACTACTCTTAAACTTCTTATACCTTCCCTCTTGAGTGGTAATGCTCAAGTCATTCCTTTACCATAGAATATGTTGCTGCACACCTCCTTATCTCCACCCACCCAAATCCTAACCACACTTTAAAAATGAAGTCTAATTCACTGCCATGAAGACCTCCCTCATTTCCTTTTTTTAGCCAGGAATGGATTCCCACTCTCCTGAACTCATTGCACATTGTGCCTCTCTTCGGGTAGTTAAAACATGCTTCCTTGTAGTACAAGTTGTTGGCAACTTAGTCGTAGGTTGTAACTTCAGTTGGCTGAGGGTTTCAAATAATTCCATTTACTACCTTTGGATTTGCTCTAATACCTTATCTGGAAACCAGTCCCATCAACTAGTTCTGGATATTTTGCAGTGCTGCATAAGGTTGCCAATGTATTTTTTTTAAGTTTTAATTAAAATGGTACCTGCTTTTTACTGACAGTGTCAAAGTGTAATATTTTGCCTTAAGTCACAGATAAGCACCCTTCCCCTCCAAATTGAGTATGAATTAAGATGAAATGTAAATTGTTCATTAAGTCATGGAAGTTTACGGCATGGAAGTTAACATTTCAGTGTATAGGAAGCTACACTCAGGCCCCACATCATTCCACTGGAATTAGAACTTCATCTTTGGATCAGATGTGGTATCTGCTTATACTAATTTTGTCCTTATTTGTTGTGGTGGTTTGCTCCTGTCTTGTATTAACTCACAAACCTTGAGTATTTTCTTAGTTTTAGTGCAGCGCCTCTCTCCATGGAGAGTCATCTCCCAAGGTACTCTGTTTACTGCAACGTTTTTATGATTTTATATTGCATCAAGCAATTCCAGACTTACAGGGTGTTGATGTGAAAGGCTTCCTCTGGTGCTGTAAGAAAGCTATCCCTATTTAGAAGTATGTTTTTGGCGTATGGAAGACATTAAAATCAGAAAGGGACAAAAACAAACGCTCTGTGTGGAATTGATTGTCTCCGTCTCAAAGCACTGAAGGTAATAGTAGAAACAGTAGTGATAAAAAATAGAATAATCAAAAAGTCAAGAAAGAAACAGAGACAAAACCTGGTCTCTTAGATCTAAACGACTAAATCTTTAAATTGCATGTATTCCTTAACAACCTTACCAAATTTGTTTTCTAGAAGACTGCAATGGGAATGAATTCAAATAATGAAACCAAGAGCCTTTTGCAGATTGAAAACTTCCAAAGGACTTTAACCTTTCAATGACCAATGGCCAATTTGAGTCTCCAGTATTTCTGCTAGAAATAGAACTGGAATCTCTAGTAATAATTAAAATATTACTGTAAACCTGATGTGTCTCATTAAACACATGACTTTTAATTTATGCCTCTTCTAAAGTTGTCAAAGTATGTCTGTCCTTCATTTTCACAATTAATGATTACAGCATGAATGAATAATCTGCCTTTCCTTTTAATATTTCAGATTTCTTAAATTTGGAACATCAAAATATCTGTGTTGCTGAAAACCCCAAATCCTTCTGTACTGTGATAATGTGGGTGCAGCTACATAGAAGGGCTAGTTTGACCTTAGGATTTTTAAAGTAATTAGAGCCATTTCAAAATAAAACATCCTTTACAGCCAAACTTATTCACCTGGACATTTCAAACACGTAAGTAATCAGAGGCAAGTTATTTCAACAGAGAGTTTAATAGCCATTTCTGTCACAACATCTGTTGAATACAATTTGGGATTTTCGTTTTAAAAACTGGTAAATACGAACATTTCTGTTAGTGCTGTTTTATTCTTTTTTGATACTTAAATTTGTTGAAGTGTTTTCTGCCTCTGCTATCTCTTCCCAATTGTCCTTTTTTGCTCCTTATTACTTTCTTCTCACAACAGTACCTATATAGCAAAAACATTTCAGTGTCTTTTAAAAATGTCTTGTGGCTGCCTATATCCCAATCTATTATGTTAGAGTCACATCACTGTATTTTGAAAGCAACGATCATCACAACTTCTTAGCATTTTAACCCTGTAGAATTTGAAATTGAAACAGTAGGAAGAGATTCAAAGGACAGTTCATAAACCTGGTTGATGAAATGAGAAAAGAAGAAAATATGTTGTAGAAAGAGGCAGAAAAATCCAATTTAGGATATTTGTGACTAATTAAGGGAGCAAGAAGAACCCACACATTTCTCTTTGATCCTGCTAAGTACAACTAGGTCTAAATAAAATTCAGTAAGTTTCCCACATTATGTATATTTTAGAGGAATTATCAGAGATGTTACCATAGCCATGTAGTTGGTAACGTGCTGTAAAGATATGAAGCCTGAATTTCACTTCCTGAATACCTAAGCCTTTAGAGAATAGGAGCACAGGAAAAACAAAACAAAACAAAACACCCCCGACCCCTCCAAAAAAACACCTTGGTTTTAGAGAATGAATAGCTTGACAAAGGGTCTTAAAACTACTTTGCTAGATCCGTTACGGTGGCTCACACCTGAAATCCCAGCACTTTGGGAGGCCGAGGCGGGCGGATCACAAGGTCAGGAGTTCCAGACCATCCTGACCAATATGGTGAAACCCTGTCTCTACTAAAAATAAAATAACAATAATTCTAAAAATTAGTCGACGGTGGTGGCATGCGCCTGTTGACCCAGTTACCCGGGAGGCTGAGGCAGGAGAATTGCTTGAACCCGGGAGACGGAGGTTGCAGTGAGCCGAGATTGTATCATTGCACTCCAGCCTGGGCGATAGAGGGAGACTCCGTCTCAAAAAACAAACAAAACCACTTTGCTAAGGCGATCTAAACACTATACACTGTGTGGAAAAGACCATTTCTTTTCCTTGGCTTGGAATGTACCCTGCGTAGACATTTTGTTCTATAAGCTCTAGTACGTTTGGGGCACTTGATGAGTGGGGGAAGTGGAATCTTGTTTAGGACCAGAGCTCTAATCACTGGACCTTCAAAGTCCATGGAGGAGGAAGGAAAATGCACGTTCAAGAGTGCAAACCCTTGCCCTTTCCTCATATTCCGTAAGAACTGTTTTGAGTCCTAAATAAACATTTCCTATGAATTTTAGCGGGGAGTAGGGCCAGGGCAATCCCGAGACTAAGGGACGGGGACAGGGACAAGTCTGTTCCAGGACAGTGGCGGAAGTGCCATAAAATGAGGCGTCCATCTGCCACCCACAAAGCAAGTCTCTCTGTTTCCCAAAGCGTTCAGAGGCTCACCACGCTTCCTGAATGTCAGTGCGAGTTAGCAACCAGAACTCTGATCTGAGTGTGATCTCGGACTCTTGTTCCTCTGCGCGCTGGGTAGCGGAAAATTTACACCAAGCGCCCTAGTTGGGCCGAACGGCTGAGCTGTTTACTTCTGAACTGGCTAGCGTCTTTCTCCTGGAAGCTGGGCGAAGCCACCTTTTAGCCCCTTGCAGAGTTTGGGAACGACGCGCAAGTGGAATTGGAGCTGCCACCTCACTTTCCACGATCGAACCCGTGTGTAGGGTGGCGGAAGGGGAATGGGTAGGCAAGTTCTCGAGTAGCGCTTTGCGTTCCCACCCCGACACCAGCGGAGCGCGGAGCGGATGGGTTCACAGCGTAGGACACTTTGAGAACTCTGCGTGACAATTGAGAGTTCTCTTGTCTGGCTGAGAGGCAAGAAGCAGAGGCACCACACCGCCCCCTTCCCGGGCTGGATCACTGTTCACCGTCGAGCCTGAACCCACTCAGGTAGTCGGACGCCTGCCAGGGAGTCTCCACCTCCTCGTCAGCGGCAGCCAGTCGGAGTGCTCGGGTGCAGCAGGGGTGGGGCCCATTGGCTGTGGGGAGCTGCCAGTCTCGAAAGGGGGTGTGGTGGGGGTGGGGTCTGCGGCCGCAGCGGGTCGGGGCTGCTCACTGTTTGCTGGGTGGTGGGTGAGCTTGAGCGTGAGCGGGCTGCCGAAGACTTGCGAACATTTCGGAGCCAGCGAGAACGCGCCAGAGAGAGCGAGAGTGAGGGAGTGAGTGCGAGGGGATCTAGTTCTCTAGTCAGGGCGAGAAAGCGAGGGCCGGAGGACCCACGACTGAGACAGAGTGACCATGGCTGTCTCCGCATCTCCGGTGATCTCCGCAACTTCCAGCGGTGCCGGCGTCCCGGGGGGCTTATTCAGGGCCGAACCCCTGTACTCGACTCCCGGAGAGCCCCCTCGTCTCACTCCTAATATGATCAATAGTTTCATGGTTAACCACGGCGGCAGTGCGGGAGGTGCCGGGGTCAGTAGTGGCGGAGGCGGCAGCGGCAACGCCAACACTAACGAGTGCCGCATGGTCGACATGCACGGGATGAAGGTGGCTTCGTTCCTGATGGACGGTCAGGAACTGATCTGCCTGCCGCAAGTCTTTGATCTTTTTCTAAAGCACCTGGTGGGAGGGTTGCACACCGTGTACACCAAACTGAAGAGACTGGATATATCCCCCGTGGTGTGTACTGTCGAGCAGGTCCGGATCCTCCGCGGGCTTGGGGCCATCCAGCCCGGGGTAAACCGCTGCAAACTCATCACCAGGAAAGACTTCGAAACTTTGTTCACCGATTGCACCAATGCCAGGTGAGACACTCGTTTCTTGGCTTTCCCGCTTCTCTTACCCCTTTGGGCTCTTTTGCATGCCTCACCACCCTCATCCAACTTTGTTTGTAGAGACTGAGTCTTAACTAGTTTGCCTCTATTCTTCACGGTGTAAATCGATGGGGAAAGAGGACTAGAAGGATTCATTAATGCCGGTGCCTTCTAATCCGCGCTCAGTACTAAGGTTTGGGTCTAAAAAAGTCCCTCGCAAACTTGAGTTTGCAGTCCTCTGTTGAAACTTTCCAGCCTTTTGCCCATATCTTGCATGGCTTTTGGCTGCTTGTGGTTATTTGTTAATTTCTCTATTTGGTTTTCTTTCCTGCTCTTTTGTGGCCGCACGGGTCGGATAGGTTTTCTTCTGAACACGAAAACCAAGGGCTTTCTCTGGGGGCTGGCTGAGCTGTAAACTGGGCTCCTAAGCTGGCAAGCCAGAACACAGCATTTGGGGCATGGAGGGGGTGGGAAGTCTAGAATCCATCCCAGAGGGTGATTCGATCCCCATCCCGTGTGTTCGTTGTGAGAGTGTGTGGGGTGTGGTGTTGACGTTTGTGGTGGTGGTGGTGGTGGTGTGTGTGTGTGTGTATGTGTGTGTCTGTGTGTGTGTCTGTGTGTGTCTGTGTGTGGGGGTGGGTGCAAGTGCGTGTGAGAACGTATGCTTACGCTTGCTGCGCAAAGCTCCCCAGTACACGATACAGGGAAGTCGATACTGTTTTTCAAAAAGGACCACGACAAATATCACTTTCCTGGGATCGTTTGTTTTGGGTTATCTGCAGAGGGCAATGTGGGGCATGAATCACTGTGGCTGGGACTGGATTGAAGGTTGGTGTACAAGCTGAGAGACTTTCTAGAGAGGATGCTCTCAGCTCTTCCAGGAGAACAGTTGGAAGGTTCTCATTCCCTTAAAGACAGGATTCCTTAAATGATGATGGCCAGCTTCCCTGGTTGGAAGTGTACCTTCTTCATATCACAGTTTAGAAGTACACTGGAGAATAAATGTCCGTTTGCATATGAGAAGCAAATAGTGTTCAATGTTTCTGAGTTTAAAAAGAAAAGAACTTATACTCAAGATTATTTGACTTTTTAAACACCTGTGAATTAGTCTTCTAGTGTTTATTCCATCTCCAGTTTGGTAACATCTCAGGAAAGCACAGATCTGGCACATGAAATTAACATGCAAACCAAAAAAATCACCATCACGTGGTTAAAAGGAGTAAAGAGTTTTGTTGTAAAACAGCCCTAGTGCTTATCATTTTGCAAACAAAACAAAACAAAACAAAACAAAAAAACAAAAACTTTTGCTGAGGCACACTTTCTCAAAAGGAACTTTAAATCATAAAATCTCTGAGTCTATGAACTAAAACTGTAACAGTTTGCCACATCTTTGTAAAATCCAAATCGCCACGTACAGCAGAATGATACTGACAACTTGTAGGCAAACTGTTGCTTATTGCTACGATAAGATAATGCTACAGAACTTGCAAGGGAACATTTTTCCTTCTTTTTTTTTCTTCCACTGAGGAGTATTTTCCTGTGTTCAAGCAATTAAACAAAAAACTATTTATGTGAGAACTTCTACCTGATTCAAATTTAGGGCTGACAAAGCTGGTTTATTATATCAGCTTTTCTTAAGGAAGATAGATGGCCTTAAAACACAAAGGATAACAGCTCCTTCAATAAAACAGGCAATTATGGATTGTAAGAGTAAAAAGACAATTTTATTTTGACTACAAAGCATTTTATTAATACACAAATGAAAAGGGTTACAAGGGTCTTCAGATAGTGGCCATCTAATTCATTTGTTGCCGTTCAAAAACACTCAAACATTTAAATAATTGTAGATAGGAAAACCTATTCTCTTATCAACTCTCTCTCTTCATCAGTCTCTCTGCTATCCATCCCTGTTCTTACTCTGTACCCCCTCTTTCCTCTCTTATAAATGCCCATTCTTAAAGTGGAACAATTATTACACTTAGGAAATTCTTCCTCAATTAATTTGCACATTCTTGAGAAAAATCTACTACTATGATTTTCAAATAAATAGATTAGTATTTTAATGTGATTTTGAATGGTTTTCTCTATAAATGGAAGCTTTTCCTTAATTTTTTGTTAGAATTACTTACTAAAGGGAAAAATCCAGAGGCAGGTGATCTTATACTATTTTTGGACCCTGTTATACCATGTATTTTTAGGTTATTATTTTTAACTAATTAACTTTTATTTACTTCTTATCATAGCAATGCTAAGTTTTTTGTGTTGAATTGCTTTTGTGTATGTGTGTGCATAAAGGTGATAGAGAAATATTAAATATGTAGGAAGAAATATATCTGTGATGTGATGCATGTGCCTTCTATTGCATTTTCTTTTCTTTATGGGTATTTGGCTTATTATAGTCATATTTTAAAACTGTGTTGCAAGTATTACAGTTTATAATTGTAAAAATTTATGAAGTATATTCTATGAATGCAATCCATCAGTGAAGATGAGGAAAACTACTAGAAAACTTCAATTTTAGATGAAAGAAAACCACAATTTCTGAGAAAAATTCTAATTAATGATAAAATGATATCAACACATTTTACTGATTTGAACTTCCCTCCTAACCACATTGTTAAAATTACAAAATATATTAATGCATTTGATAAACGCTTTATGACTTTAGGTAAGATTATTTACAGAAATGTATATTTGAAGTTATTCCCAAAATCGGAATTTTTAAAGGAAATTGTGAAATTTTTAGATAACAGTATTTCTGTGACTTTTCTATTCAGTGAAAGGAAGGTAAAGGATGTAAATAGGAAGGAAATCCAAGAGAGACAAAGTAAGGTAGGTGAGATGGAGGCCAGTAAGAGAGTAGAAATGCAGGAAAAGAGCAGAATGATGCCTTGAAACGGAGTGATGGAACAGAAGAGCTTATAGAGATGCCCCAAAAGATGAGTGATGTAGCAATGGAGATCTGGCTAAAGAGGATTGTCCTTCAGGACTCATGACTTCTTAGTGCTTCTAGCTAAGAGCAGGAAGGGATGTGCAAGGAAAAAATAAATGTTTAGTGAGTGGAAACTCTTACACACTTCTTATTTTAAAGAAGTGATTCATCTTCATCTCTTGATGGATGAATGTTCATAATATATTGCTGAATGGAAGCCCTATTTGTACTGGTGTCATTGGCAATTTTCTTTTCCTGTATGATAAACATTTCTTCCCCTCTCTGTCAAGTATGTGGGGAAGAGTGCAAGTCCTGACTTAGAGCATTTGGAATGCTTTCTACGCTATCCCAGAACACGCAAAATGGACTGTTTTCAAATTGGTCATTTTCAAGGATCTTTAGGTATTGCCACTAAGTGCCATTTTGATTTGGTTCAGTGTCCATTATGTGCATTAATGAAAAATGAATGAGTAAAATATATACATAATTGTTTCTTTGATAGTACTGAAAATCATAGCAAGAACTATCAGTGCTTTATGTTAACTATTTTGTTGTTAGCCAATTATCAAAAGAGTCAGTTGTCTTCCTAGAAAAGAAGTTGAGGAATAATATTTGCTTCAACTACTAGGGAGGTAATAAGACTGAAACTCTTGACCATTCATTGTTCTGTTCGACAAGTCAAGGTTTACATTACTGTAATTTCGAAGAGCTGTACAACATTTTTCCTTCATGCCTGTTAATGTCCAAAATTAATTATATTATTTTGAGAATTATTTTTAGAATGATGATAAAAATATTCAACACCAAGTGGGAAAAATTATTATACTGTTCTGGATTTTGTTTTTTGAGGTAAAGCACTGTGATTTCTGTTTAATTTTTTGTACAACAAAACTTAGAGTTTTTAATACAAGAGAAAACAGGCAGGTTTAAAAAGAAAATGTTGAAAATTTTCACTCTTATGAAGTAAGTTTTTCTTACTAAATTCTCCTAAGTTTAATGCAGCAGTAAAACATTAAATTAAAAATTGGTTTCCCTACATATGAAAATCACTGAACAATCAATACATTTTAGTGTTTCTCTTTTTACCTACCTATCAATATAAAAGCAACATTGTCAGATTTCATGACCAGCATTTAATTTTGTTCGAGGACCAACTGATTAAATGTTATTTAGTCATTTAGAGTCAAATGGATGCTTGAAGATACAAGAAGCTATATGATTAAGAAAACATTTTAATAATGCATTTGGAGACACAATTCAACATATATTCAAGCAAATAGAATTCAGTTTTTAAAGTTAAAACTTCCAATTATAGTTTCCTGTTATTTTGATAGTATAGAAACAGAGCATAAATATGCTTTGATATTAAAATGATTTTTTTTTTCTTGAGACGGAGTTTTGCTCTTCTTACCCAAATATCAAAGCACATTTTACGTTTTAAAACTATTTTCAAATACTAGATATATGGTTATTGTGAGCACTCAATGAGTTTGGCTTTGTATTTACACTTGATAAATACTTTATAATTCATGATCCATACAGAGTAGCATAATTTAGTTTGAAAATTGATATTTTACATTTACAGTTAGGCAACATGAAATTTTTGAAGAACTTGAATCACTTCTCTGAGCTAATATTTTGTATGGCTTACATTTTCAGTAATGATAAAAACATTTTAGAAATGAATCTGTGTAGTAAATGCACATTTTATTTCATAAGATGATGAAAGGATAGTCATATTGTCTGTTAAAAACAGCCGAATGGTCAACAATAATCTGTCCTTTATGAGAAGAATGAAGTCAAGATTTTAATCAAAGCAATTATAATTATATGTCAATGCATAGACCTTCCATGTTGACATTCATTTTAAATATACGCTTCTGAATAACCAACAGTTTTGTATTTAACTACTTTAGCTGGTATTGGTATGTGCTTCACTCATTTATTAGGTGATGGATACTACATTAAAGAAATGATCCATGACATGATGCAGTATATCTTTAGATTTTTATGTATCATATTATCCTCAATGTATAGCACATCAATGTCAACAAATAAT